AGAGTTATTATACTGTCCTTTCAAGATTCCTCATTAAGTGACAAATAAGCACATAGTGTTGCAAGAGAGTGAACCATAAGCCTGATCACATAATTACATTTAGTTTGAAGCATCTTCTGTTGTCTCCCAAAAAAGCGGCCAGAAGTACTGTAACCAAGCCCTAAGCAGCCACTATCAACATCATCAGTAAATGTCACCCAAGCCGTAAGCCTGGCCACTGCACTCCTACAACAACAGTCAATACTTGTAACCAAGCTAATCCATGCCGACTGACAAAGCAACTAGTACAGTACTATGAACCAGGCAAGTTGCCAGGCCGACTACAACATCAGACAGTCTGTTCACATTTGCAAGAATCCATAAACATACTTATCTACCGTTCATGATTATCATAGTGGGTTAAGAACTACTCAGGCTTCATAACTGCATTCTATTAGACACTCATCTCATTTATTTACTTCTCACTATCACTCTAACATATTGCTAAAGTCTAGACAACAAGTACAAACGGCAAAGTTGAATATTCTACTAAACATTCTTCCTTCTGGGTTGACTCTATCATGTGCTAACATATCAACTTTATCATGAGGAGAAATCAATGTGTGATGGATCCATAGCAATTTTACATTAATTCCTTTGTCCCTAATTATTGAGTATCGTATAAACGGCTCTGTCCTATGAGCATGGTATGATGGAGTCCAATATGAGAAGTCCAGAGCCTTCAATGATGACATAGAAACCGTATGAAGGATAGGAGTCAAGCTGCAATGGTCATAGGTTACTTATAAGCGCATTAGGATGCAAACAATTCAGTTTGTCAGTGTAGACGCCCAGTTGTTTAATTCTTATGCCCTAACACACAAATTTATACCGTTTTTAACACGGGAGGTGGCACCAAGAGCAAATGCAGCCCTGCCAGAAGACTCCTGTTTAGAATCCATCAGTGTCATATAACTTGAGATAACTTATTACTACACACAGGTGAGAAATTAACAAAGTGAGAGTGATTAAGTAAAATTGTATAATTTGTATCATGCGAAGTGAGGTAAGTCAAAAGCAAGCAAAATAGCAATTGGCGGATTTGAGAGTGTGAGAGTAGGCAGCGAGAGAGACTGCTGTAAGTGTCACCCTTAGGATGGTCCTAGAGCATGATGTTTGATGCCAAGGCGCAGTCACTCTCACAGTGTCACTTTACACCTCAGTGGGTCAGGGAGCAGTCACATAACACAACCAGTGTCTCTTTCTTTCTCGGTGTCAGGAGCAGTCACTAACACCAGAGACACTATCTCCGTGTCAGGAGCAGTCATCGACGACATGTTGTCCTCTTTCTCCGTGTTCAGAGCATCACTCACAACCAGTGTAACTCTTTCTCAGCTGGTCAAGAGGCAGTCACTCACACCAGTGTCTCCTTCTCCTAGGGGGGGTGGTCAGGAGCAGTCACTCACACCAGTGTCTCTTTTCTCAGTGGGCAGGGCAGTCCACTACCCGCAGTGTCTCCATTCTCCATGGCCAAGGGGCAGTTCATCTCACACCAGTGTCTACTTTCTCCAGAGGTCACGGGAGCAGTCACGACACGACCATGGTCCTTTCTCAGTGGCCAGGGCAGTCACTAAACGCAGTGTCTCTTTTCTCAGTGGTCAGGAGCAGTCACCTCACACCAGTGTCTCTTTTTCTCTAGTTGTCAGGAGCAGTCACGCACACCAGTGTCTCTACTACAGTGGCCATGGGCAGTCACTCACACCAGTAGTCTTCTTCTCAGATGGTCAGCGAGCACTCACAAACACAAGATTCTCTATTCTCAGCGGTCAGGAGCAGTACACTCAATATCAGTGGTCTCTTCTCTCTATGGTCAGGAAAGCAGTCACTTCACACCGGTGTCTCTTCACAGTGGTTCAGAGGCAGTCACTCACACGGTGTCTCTTCTCATGTGAGTCAGAGCAGTGCCACGCACTGACATGTCATCTTACTACAGTGGTCAGGAGCAGATCACTTCACACCAGTGTCTCTTCTAGTGTTCAGGAGCAGTTCCACATCACAAACCAGAGTCTCTTTCTCAGGGTCGGAAGCAGTCGACTCACGACCAGTGCCTACTTTCTCAGTGGTCAGGAGCAAGTCACATCACAACCAGTTGTCTCTATCTCAAGTGGTCAGATCACACCACAACCAGTGATCCTCTTTCCTTCTTCAGTGGCCAGAGGTCAGTCACTCACACAGTGTCTCTTTCTCAGAGGTACGGAGGCAGTCTCATCTCAAGCCCGTGTTCTCATTCACAGAGCAGGGGTTGCGTGAGGTCCTAACAACCAGTGTCTCCTTGCATCATTAGGCCAGGGGCTAGTCACATCACAACCAGTGTCTCATTCTCAGAGGTCAGGAGCATGCCATCTCACACCAAGTGTCTCTTTCTCAGAGGCCAGGGGCAGTCCACACATACCAGAGTCACTTTCTCAGCTGTCAGGAGCCTCACTCACACCAGTGTCTCTTTCTCAGTTGGTCCAGGAGCGTCACTCACACAGTGTCTCTTTCTCAGTGGCCAGCAGGGCAGTCACACACACAGTGTCCTCTTTCTCAGTGGTCAGGACAACTCAACAGTACATACCAGTGTCTCTTCCTCAGCGGTCAGGAGCAGTCACTCATATCAGTGTCTTCTTTCTCAGTTGGGCAGGAAGCAGTCCCACACACCAGAGTGTCACTTCTCAGTGGTCAGGAGCAGTCACTCACACCAGTGTCTCTTTCTTCAGCTGGTACAGACAGTCACTCTACACCAGTGTCCTCTTTCACAGTGGTCGAATCAGTCACTCACACCAGTGTCCTATCTCAGTGGTCAGGAGAGCAGTCACTCTACACAGATGTACCAGTGTTACTCCTTCTCAGTGGTCCCAGAGCAGAATCACTTCACAACAGTGTTCTCTTTTGCCTCATGGCCAGGGGCAGATCACTAACACCAGTGTCTCACTCAGTGGCCAGGGGTATCACTCACACCAGTTGTCTCTTTCTCATGGTCAGGACAGTCACTTACACCAGTGTCTCTTTCTCATGTCAGGAGCAGTCACTTTCACTCCAGTGTTCTCTTCTCTCAGTGGTCAGGAGTCATTCACTCCGACCAGTGTCTTTCTCAGCTAGGCCAGGGTCAGTCACTAACCCCAGTGGTCCCTTCTCATGTCCAGGGGTATGGTCACTCCTACAGTGTCTCTTTCGTCAGATGGTCCAAGGTAGTCAGTCCACCCACACCGGTGACTCTTTCTCAGTGGTCCGGAGCAGTCACAGTCACAAACCGGTGTCCTCTTCTCAGTGGTCAGGAGCAGATCACCTCACCACCGGATTCTCATTCTCCAGTGGTGTCAGGAGCAGCATCACTCACTCCACCGGTGTCTCTTTCTCAGTGGACAGGAGACAGTCCCGGTCGCGCCACACCATATCTCTTTCCTCAGTGTCAGGAGGCAGTCACTCCCACCATTGTCTCTTCCTCAGTGGTCAGGGACAGTCACTCACACGCAGTTGTCTCTTTCTCAGTGGCCAGTGGCATCACTAACACCAGAGTCGCTTACTCATTCAGTGGCCAGGGGCACTCACACCATGTCCTCCTTTCTCAGTGGATCCGAGCAGTCAACTCACACCATGTCTTCTTTCTCATGGGGCCAGGGCAGTCACATTCTCATCACCAGTGTCTCTTTCACCATGTCAGGAGCATCACTCACACCAGTGTCTCTTTCTCGTGGTCAGGAGCAGTCACTCAACACCAGTGTCTACTTACTAATGGTCAGGAGCACTCACACCAAGTGTCTCTTCTTATCTCATGGTCAGGAGCAACTCACACCAGTGTCTCTTTCTAGTGGTCAGGAGACAGTCACTCATATCTAGTGTCTCTTTCTCAGTGGTCAGAGGGACTAAGTTCACAACACACCGGTGTTTTCTTTCTTCGACACTGATCAGGAGCAGTCACACAAACCATGATCTCTTCTCAGCTCAGTGGTCATGAGCACACTCACACCAGTGTTCTCTTTCCTCAGTGGTCAGACAGTCACTCACGACCAGTGTCTATTCTCATGGTCTGCAGCAGTCACATCGACAATCCATGTCTCTTTCTCAGCTGTCTGCAGCATCCACAAGACCTGTGTCTCTTTCTCAGTGGTCTGTAGCAGTCACACACACCAGTGTCCCCTCTTACTCAGAAGGTCCAGGAGCAGTCACTCATATCATTGTTATCTTTCTCAGTAGTAAGGAGCAGTCACACCAGTTGGTCTCTTTTCTCAGTGAGTCAGACCCTCACACAACATGTCTCATTCTTTTCAGCTAGGACAGGCAGCAGTCACTCACAACCATGTCCCGTCATTCTTCTCAGTGGTCAGGAGCAGTATAGCTTAACACCAAGTTGTGTCTTTCTCAGTGGTCATGAGCATGCACTCACACCAGTGTCCTTTCTCAGTGGTCAGGAGCATCCAACACACCCGTGACTCTCATTCATCAGATGGTCAGAGCAGTCACCACCCAGATGGTCCTCTTCTCAGGGGCAGAGCAGTCACACAACACGCATTGTCTCCTTTCTCAGGTTTGGTCAGGAGCCATCACTCATCACAGTAGTCTCTTTCTCAGTGGTCAGGAGCAGTCCCGTCAGCACCATGTGTCACTTTAACCTTGAATGGACAGGAGCAGTCACTCCTATCAGTTCTTCACCCTCTGCGTCACTGGATCCTCACAGATAACTAATTACACCAGTAACATACACATTCTCTGGGATCACCAGCCCAGATATCACTGCAAGTGACTAGTGACCCTTATACATCAAGTTTTGGGTGCAGACATAGTATTTTTTTACAGTGTTTCTTTTGTTTAGATACAGTTTCACGTCGCAATAATACACACGAAATACACTCTTCTTTGTGACCTGAATTGTGCTCAATAAGTTACAATACACAGGTATATCTCTCTTCGAGTGACTCATAAAACTGAGAGGCCACAAACTATACGCTGAAATTCAAGGTTTTGAGACAGTACAATGTATCATGGCAGAAGTTAAGCAACACCTAACATCTTCGTACATTTATATCTTCATATATCCTTATAGAAGTTGATGCTTAACATACTGAGTGCTCCCACACCTGCGTATAATTAACGCAGAGTTAGTACTATCCATCTGCGGATATACGCAGAGCATGTATATCGCATCTTTGGATAATACGCAAGACTGTATATCAACTGTGAATGATACGCAGAGTTGTATATCCATCCTGTGGATATACGCAAAGTTTTGTATATCCATCTGGCGTAAATAGCAGAGCAGAAAAATATCCATCTGTGTATATACACAGAGCTGTACCACCCACAAAGTGTGTCACACCTACCTGTATACACATCATGTATGTGACCCTGGCGCGTACCGCTCCCGGCACAACCCACAGCGACACACCACCTAAGTCACACCCCCATCGACAAACCTCGGAGAGGGGCCCCGTACTAACCCCCACCCATCATGGAGCACTACACCAAGCCATAAACCACCACGAATAAACTGCACAACGATCCCGCAGCAAAAGTCTCCCAGACCAATCTTCACCGCTTAGACCCCTTCCCCCAGTATTCGCGGATCCAAGACAGTGCAACACATTATAGAGTAACCGCCATGTTGTCCCCTGACATCCGGCAGACTACACTATCCCAAGAGAGGAACCGCCCTTAGCACCAGACCCCGATTAGACTGCCCCTAGGAGAGATGTAAATAGACCTGTCCCCAGTGATAGGTGCTCAGCACATGTGCACGGCTGGAAACAGGATGAGACAAGATGCACCATGTTGAGTAGGCTAAGACATGAGCACCTGGTTTCGAGGATTAAGACATGGCACCTAGTTGCGCGAGTGAACAGAAATGACACCTGTGAAACCAGGAATTCTCCCAGTGCACCTGGTGAGACGATAAGACACCATAGAGCCACTCCGGTTGTAGACGGTCAGACACGAGCACCTGGTGAGAAGGAACAGACCCGTTACTCATGAAAGATGAACAGACATGTTGCACCAGGTACCATGATGAGACATGATGCACCAGGTGTCTAGGATTATAGACATGTTCACCCTGGTTAACAGGGACAGACACGAGCCTCTGTGAGAGGAACAACACCTATGACATCTGTAGATGATCAGACTTAGTGCACCATGTAACGATTAGACATGTACAGATCCTGGCGATGAGATTCAGACTATGTGCCACCTGTGTGAGAGGATTCAAGGGCAAGTGCACCAGGTGAGAGGATCAGACACTTGCACCAGGTGAGAGAATCAGACACGTGCACCTGGTTGAGAGATCAGACATGTGCACCAGGTGATGTAATCAGACATGTGCACCAGTAACAGGAAGAGACAAGTGCACCTGGTGAGAGGATCAGACACAGGACACCTTGTTAGAGGAATCAGACACGTGCACCTGGTAATAGAGGAATGAGACTGTGCACCTGGTACCAGGATGAGACATGTTGCCCCTGGTGAGAAGGACGAGACAGAGGCACTCTGGTGAGAGGAACATGCATGGTTCAACTCTGGTGAGAGGATCAGGCACTTGCACCTGGTGAGATGGATCAAACATGATGCACCTTGTGAGAGGATCAGACACGTGCATCTGGTGAGAGGGAACAGACACGTGCATCTGGTGAGAGGAACAGACAACGTGCAAGCCGTGGTGAAGGATCAGACAAGTTCAACCTGGTGATGAGGATCAACATGTGCAAACTGGTGAGAGCTCAGACATACGTAACTTGTTATTTCATTACCTTTGTAACTTGTGAGTTCATTCACTTGATACCTGTTCAGCCATCAACTTTGTGGATGGCCCCGGTCCCTGGACCCATTTGTGTAACCTCTGTAAACTTAAAATACCTTTAGTAAACGGGGGAAACCTACAAGGGGTAATAACCTGCTTGACTTAGTTCTGGCAAACAATGAATCCCTTGTTAATATTTAGAAGTTTCAGAGGAACTGGGTGCAAAGCGACCACAAATCAATTACATTTAGAATTGAATGGAAGTTGATAGTAGGGATAACTCAGTAACAGTCCAGATTTTCGCTTAGCAGATTACGATGGGCTTAGAGAACACTTATCATCTGTTGATGGGGTAACGAAGAGAGCTATAAATATGACAGTTTTCTGAACACAATACATGCTGCTCAAAGAACGTTTATCCCTTATAAGGAAATTAGATCTAATAGAAATGACCCAAAATGGATGAATAATAGGCTGAAATATCTACTAGGGCATAAGAAAGGGAAAATTTATAGGCGTATCAAAAGAGGCGAGGGTCATCTTATGAATCAGTATATTGACATTAAGAGGGGCATTAAAAAGGGGATAAGAAAAGCTAAAAGGGAATATGAAATTAAAGTTGCTAGGGATTCTAAAACTAACCCAAAAAGGAGGGGAAGGGATAGCGGGAGCTAGACTGACCCTACCTTAACAAGCAGCCGGCAGTCAAACTATCACTTTCAGGGTGGGGGAAAAAAGGCGTGAATAGCAGGAGCTTGACTTACCCTACCTTAACAAGTAGCCAGCAATGAAACTATTGTTACTATATACTCCCTCGCTACTCTTATCTATTGAACTTTTCCCTCACAGTGGACGTATCAGTTGTTCATTACTTTGTAATTTGTTCATGACTGTAACCATGTATAGGAGTGAGGCTGATTCATTACCTTTGTAACTTGTCATGATTGTGACCAGATCTACCTGGAGTTCATTACCTTCGTAACTAGTTCAGCTATCATAACTTTGGGGTCCAGTCCCTGGACCATTATGTACCTTTGTAATCTTTTGACTACCTCCCACAGGATGGGTATGGGGTGCATAATAAACATATTAAACTAACTTTGTCTCTGTAGATGCCTTACGTTGCATTACATTGTAAAATTCTCCAAACTTCAGAACACCCATAACTTAACCTGATTCTTTTTTCCCCTTCTTCTTCCCACTTTCCTCTTTCTCTTTTGGGTTTTCTTTCATGTGTCTTGGGTGTTTGGTCCATTATTATTTTTTCCCTTCTCTGTGTTCTTGTTCCTACTACCTCTACCACTCCCTTCTTCTTCCTTTTCCCACTAATCTGCAAACCCCTCCTTCAGACCCGTATGTAAGTCTCAACACTGTTGCTGGATCTTCAGATAGTTCCGACTATGGAACTGATTCTCCAGGCTGAGGGACTGACAACCTCAAATCTACGACTTCAATGGTGATGGATTGATTACATCGTCTTCACATCTTACTTCTCCTGCCCACTTTCTGTACTCGACTGAAGAAGCCTACTGTGTAGGCGAAAAAGTTTCAGAATAAAGTTGGCTAAATGTTGCCTATGTGTCTTACCTATCATCTATAACTTCGCAGTAATTAATTAGTTTCCCATAGTTCGAGAGGACAGAGATATGTCAGTGTTTTACCCGAGAGAAGCTCTAAAACCACAGGGGGTGACATAACGCCTGGAGAATGGGAAGCAATCAGGCAAGATCCAAGGAAAGAGAAGTCCAATTCTTTTGATTAAGATCCCCTGGCCGGTATAAAAATATCTCGCCGAATCAAGAGCCCCCCACCCATATCAAGATCCCTCGCCGGTAACAAAATCCCCTAGCCGATATCAAGATCCCTCGCCGATATCAAGATCCCCTCGCCGGTATCAAGGATCCTCCCTAAAGGGAGAAATAAATGGACAACTACAGTTTGAGTGGTGTTTCAAGTTTATTAAGTAAATACGATGCACAACATATATAAACAAACTTAGTCAAAGGTCTCACAGTGACCCTGACAATAATAGTCATTAATATTCACTGTTTGTATATACCCAATCCCTATAAAACGGAATAATAGCGTATATTTTAATAAAAGGAGATAAAAGGTTTTTAGGGAATTTTGTGTACCACTTAACGGGAAAGTGACAAAGTATGCACGAAATGCCTACCATGCAAAGCGTTTATTTGGTTTAACACTCTGTAATCAAAATTTTACTCCCATTTTAAACCCAAAAAAAACCCAAATTTTTCTGAAAAACTCAGCATTGTAATCTTTTAAAGAGAAAAAAATTTTAAAATTGTTTTAGGTGTCCCCTATCACCGAGAGAGTTTAATAAACGCTTCACTTACCCTTCTTTTAATCCCTGTACTTCATTTTTTTGTAGCTCACTACAAAAACCTCGGAAACAATTAAAATTTTAAAGATTTTGCCACCGAAGGGGGCTATTTTTATTGTGCCCCCCATATCCTTTCCTTGGAGGGTTTTTGCGGGGAAAACATATGGATCCCCAAAAAAGGGCCTGGAAACCTGGGCCCCAAAAGGGGTTAACAGGAATACATATGGATTTATATTCATATCATATTCATTTATTTTTTAAAAAGAAAATTTAAAAAAAATTTGCTTAGTATACGGGAAATCTTATTTTCTTTAAGATTCTTGACAGGCCCTTTGGGTTTAAATTATACTGTCTGTCTTGAAATTCCTCAAAAAGTGGAAAATTAAGAAATTAGTGTTCAAAGAGTGCCATATCCCCTGATCACTAATTTCCCTTTAGTTTGTTCATTCATTTTGTGTGCCCTCCCAAATGCCAGAATTACTTGTAACCAAGCCTAACCCAGGCCACTAAAACCCTCAGTAGTACTTGTAACCAAGCCTAACCGGGCCCCAAAAACAACATCGTCAGTCCCTTGAAAACCAACCTAAGCCGGGGCCACTACAACATCGTCGAAATTGTAACCAAGCCTAAGCCTGGCCACTACAACATCAGTCATTTGTTCACATTGAAAGTTGCTCCATAAACATACTTATCTACGTTCATTTTAAATCAAAGGGGGTTTTAAATAGATTACTCAGGTTTTCTAACTGCTTTCCCTAAAACCCAAATCATCTTCTTTTATTTACTTCTCTCCTAATTTTATTCCAAATGCTAGACACAGTTACCCCAAAAGTTTAATTCAAACCTTCCCCTTTTGGGGTTTCTCTTTTTGGGCTAACATATCAAACTTTATCATGAAGGGAAATCCAATGTGTTT